CATGTAGGTGCAGCCTTTCCAAACAGTCGCGACTTACATAATTCCGTTTGGAGCCTATGTCTATGAAGGCACCACATTTGCGGCCTCCTACATCGACCTCGACCACGAAATGTTCCCCTCTAGGACCTTTCCTCAGCGCCACCCAAGACTCGCGAGGGTCCTTGTTTGACCACTCACTCTCCAAGTCCTCTAAGGCTTCAGACACATCTAACGTACAGAGCATAGTTTGGTCTAGTTGTGTCTGCGGGGTGACTAAGGGGTCATTATCCTTGGCCTTGTCATGAAGTGGGGAGGGTATCAATCCCACTTCATCTTGAGTCGAAGCGGCTAATACTTCCACTGGCCCTACGCGTTTCCCGAGCTAGAAGCCTGGGAGTAGGTTGCCCCCATCTTTGGAGCTACCTTCTGCGTAACCTTAGCGTTCTGGCACTTGTACTGCGAGTGTCCGTACTCCCCTCAGTTGATACAAGCACCACGCGTTCGGCGGTCACGCCACACGTCTTGTTCAAGACCTGCCTTTACCCACTCAGCCTGCTTGGTCTGATTGGAGGCGGCCTTCCCTTGACCCCTAGGCTGGCCCTTCCCTCGGCCTGCCGCCTTAGTCTTAACTACCGCGGCGAGGGTGCTACCCTCAGCTACCTCCTCGCCGTCAAACTCTGTGTAGTCCATCAGGTCAGTGAGCTCGTCGATCTCAGTTTGGGTCCCATCGGACTCCACGATCATCAACTTTGCCCCCTTCTTTTTCCACTCCTGAGGACTCTTCTTCTTCTTTGAGTCATTTCTTGAGGTGGGTTGAGCATTGCCCAGCGTGGCCTCTAAATCTAAAGCCTTCCTAGACAATGTCTCAAATGAGTGGTACTCTGTGCGTGCCTCACTAGCCAGCAAGTTCCTGATGTTCTCTGGAAGACATCTAACGAAAGTTGTTAACAAGAACTGGTCACTGTAGTTGATGCCCGGGACGAGGATCAGGCCCTYAACGGTAGTCRTAAGCTCTCTAACTGAYCRGAACTTGCGTTGGTCTAGTTTATTTATGGCATCAGTGGCCCTTTGCGCCTCTTGTGGGTTATGCCATCGAGCTTCTACCATTTCCATGAACTGGTCTAGAGTCAAAGACTTGGCCCAATCCGCCATGCGTCGCCCGTACCCAACTTTCACAACTACCCCATCTAGCCATTTGGCTGTCTTACCCTCTAGGTAAGATGCCGCAGTTACCACTTCATCCTCTGGCAAGGTCCTCTTGGCCTTCACCCAAACCGGGACCGTCCTCAACCATGTGTTGAGTTCCTCGTCCTTTCTCTCACCTGAGAAGGCAAGAGGCGGTTTCATTGGGGTCTTGGGATACCATTGACCTTGCGGCTGTCCAAATTGCTGAACAGATTGTTGTGGTGATGTAGCAATCACCGCTGGACCCGAAGAAGAAGACGCAACAGTCTGGGAGACTGCTGCAGACGTACCACTTGGTTGTGAACCAGCTTGAACTGGAAAAGGGCCTGACATCGCCGTTAACGGCAGCGACGATTGGGCTGGTGGCCTAAATCCGTGTTAGGATGTCCAGGATCTGGTCCAAAGTGCTCTGCATGAAGTCCAACCTGCTGTCCACATGCGCATGCAGCGACAACATGTTGTTCCTCAACACTTTCATGGGCTCATTCATTCCTGAGTCATCTAAGCCCTCCAGGTCAGCCTTGTCAGACTCTAACGCTTCAAGCCTGGCTGCTCTATTCTTTATCTCTTTTTCTCTATCGGTAGCTTCTTTCTGTTCCTTCTCTAATTGTGCACGGATCCTTTCGACCTGCTGGAGCTCCCTCATCTCCCTTTCGCGAGGAGTCAACGGGCTGAACTGCGAGCCCGCCATTTGACTTGTAGACTGTCTAGAACCTGATGAACTGGAAGTGCCCACGGACCCTGTTGGCATTCCAAACTGGGGTCCAGACGAGAACGCAACAAAAGTTGCAGCGGAGGATGCTGCTGAAGAAGTCATGGCTGCTGCCCTGGCTGCTGCTGCAGCCTGTTCCCTAGCTGCAACGTTTGCTGCTGCTCTTGATGCTGCAAGAGCACGGGCTCTGCGTTCGGCGCGAAGCCGTCTTTCTTCTCCCTCGTCTAGGGTCCTGAACACGTACGGGATCCTACTTGATCTTGCACGTGTTAGTCTACCATCGTCAACTCCCTCCTCGTCGACGTCTGATCCGTTCATGAATTAGGCAAACATTGTCTGCACTAGAATCCCCTAGTGGAATCCTACCGCAGCATGTGTCTGACCGGCACCTAATTTTCTAGAAATGGTTGTGTCCGGCAAGTCCCCTACTGTACCGATCAAGTGGCATGTCTACAACATTCACACAGATTGACTACATAGTCTAAATGCACTTTGACTTGTTCACTTACAACAGCACAAGATAGAACTGGCTATGGTAGTATACTTCAGTCCTACTCTAGTCTGTCTGTGAGGTGTTAGCAGTCTATCCACCAACTAATCAAAAGTACAAAAAAGACCATGTAGCAGATGTATGATTGATGTGTATAGCTGTGTATTCAGTTGAGCACCAATTGGAATCTACCCTTCCCCTCAATCCAACCATCCGGACAGCATCTTGAGCAAAGCAGTGTGTTCATGTGTGTATCGGCCCACCCCTGTGCCCAAGTCAGAGCCAAGCAAGCCAGCCATCCCACTCTTATTTACCCTCGTACGGAAACGAGCCTTACACCCGGATGATCTGGCAGATCAGGAGGACTATTAAGAGCGCCCCCATCTCTTCAGGAATTCTTTAACGTCGCAGTCAGGACAACGATCACAGCCAGAATCATACCGAGTACCCAACCAGAAATGTTTATAGACGGTCTGGTAAGCGTCTCATACAAGGCTGGCACACTTGGCAAGACTTCTATCTGAGTGCAGCAAAGTGCCTTAATGGACAGCAGCCATCGCATGCGTGACCTACTCCCATTGGGTTGGCATGGTGACCGTGACCCAGTGCTTCGACCAGGGCCCTTCAGAGGCACCGCCCTTTCTCCTTCCAGATGCTTCCGGGAAGATTGTCGTCTCTCAAGGTAGTGCGCTCATGACACCTCACCAAAAGAGGGGACTCTCAAGTTGGACTCACTTCCTCACGGTAAGAAGAGATTGAGAGAGTAGATAAGGTAAGGGATCAACATACCTGGAGATAGCTGCCCCCAACCACAGATTTTCTCACCAATTGAGCTGATGTTGCATTTGATGACCGGTCATGACCTCGGTACCACCCACAACGCAATGCAGTGCCACCTTAGTCCAATGCCACATCAGCATGCTCTCATCATCAATCAAACATTCCGCTGTATCCCACGGCATATACTGCCGTAATAGCCTTCCGGTGCACCCCTCTCTACCCAGGGCGTGCACCTAACGTGGCCTGACGTCACAAGTACCCACTGCGAAGAAGCATCATCAACGCACCAAGTCTGTATAACGCCAGCATGCCGAAGGTAAGTGGCGATCATACCAGCTCCGATACCAAATTGCAAGGAACATGAGTATGGACGAAGCACAAAAATCCAGAATGCAAAATCACACTGAAGTCCAAGTAGTCCAAGCCAAAGCAGATAGCACAATGGAACCGAGTAACCATCCAATTGAGAATGATACAGAAGAATCGTGAGTCAATGTCCATGCCCAACAGGGCAACACCAACAGCATAACCCGAATGTAGCTCTCTCTTGTGAATGGCGCCAGGCGCCCTATCTACTTCTACAGCCTAGCCTACATCTACAGCAATGAAAGCAACCAGACAACTTGACTACCAGCGAGTGATGATGTCAACACCAATGCTGACCTCCACCTCCACCAGGTACGTGTCCTCTTCACCCACACTCTCCCTTGTACCCACACAACGCCCTTCACCTCCGAAGACCACCTTCGCCCTTCACCCTTACTGCACCCTCATGCGGCCCGACTATGGCCGGCAGTGCCTTGCATGTAGGCAGCGCCCTACCGCCTAGCGCTTGCCTGCTTCACCTCAGCGCAACGCTTCTCATGCATAGCGCAGCACACATGCATCCGCGCAGCGTGCCCGCAATGCCAGCATTGGCCAAGATCCCAGCCCACCCGCCCTGCTTGCCTATATGCCAGTGCTGCGTGTGGGCGGCCTCCCTTCAGCCTGCGACAGGGCTCCAGTGGCTGAACCCAGGCCCATTACAGTTGGGGCCCGGGAGATGCAGTTGTGCCTCTCTCGTCAAGGCCTGCGGCCAGATTCAGACAGTGGGCCGGTTTCCCTTTGCATTTTCGGCCTGGATACCCAGCGTGCATTGTCGGCCTCACGTTCAAGAGCCCAGGGCCTAACTAACTCAGAGGCCCTGGGCATTTCAGCATTTGCTGAGATCCGAAACTTGGTGTACTCCAACCAACTGGTGTGTTGCAACTGTAAGGACCCCACTTCGTGAAATGTACGCACAGAGGGCTATTGTTGATTTGCTGGCCCGCCTTCACTTAGGGCGGGCACGAGGCTTGCTGGGGCCTTAGCCCAGAACATGTACATCATGGCAAGGCCCCTTCTTGAGGGCTCATTCCTCACACCTGCCTTTGTGGCCTGTAAATAAATTGTTCTTCCATGAGACTTCTTTCCTATACATAGGCTATTTCCTCCTCTTTCTTTGTAAATAATTTTTCAGCAACCCCTCTCCGGTTTTCACTGCTATGAATTCTGTGTACTGAATCGGCCCATGGCCCTTTCTTTGTGAATGCATTTGTCATCAAACCCTCTACACCTTTTGGTTGTGCCCAAATATGCCTTTCCCAACTGTGAATGACTTCTCCTTCCTGAACACTTCTTTCCTGTGCATATGCTGTTCCCTATGTTTTGTCAACGAATTCTCTGCTCCTCACAAAATCGATCATCACACGACGCAGCATCGCTGCGGCGGGTCCACTTGTATATATAAAATATGATATTATATCGTCAAATAAATATGTATAGGTAGATATAGTTCGTTCTGAAATACGTGCTCTGTAATGTTTGCCCCTCCAGGAACCGGGGACTTTGCAACAGCCACCTTGATCTGCACAAGCGTGCAGTGAAGGACTACACTCGAGCACTGGAGGTGGACCCGAGGCTCCTAAAGGCATGGATTCAGAAGGGTGAGTTGCAATAGAAAATATGATGCCAGTGTCTCATTGGTCACCATAGACAGAAAGTTTTCACTTTTGGGTTTAGCATGCACATGTCCTTTTTTAATGAATGCTATTTACTATTTTCAGTATTTTGGATCATTTTTTTTTTCTCGATTTATGCCTGTCATCCTTGAGTGTGTGGAGGGAGGCATCGTAATCTTCTCTGTGTCGTTCCAATTTTAACGGATGTCCTGAAGGACACTTGAACTTCCTAATGTCCAGGTTGAAATCTTCTTTACAAGTGAGGGATTCAGCAACCGAGTACCCTCATCCTCTAGTGGGTGGAGTTTGAGAAAGGAGGAGAGTTCCTCTCCGCATGTCAGCATGTACCTGGGCACCAACCCTTGTACAGATCATGTACTAGGTCGTGCTTGGGGGAAAGTGGCCATCATGTTCTTCTATCAAGGGCTGGTTGGTCATTCCTTCTCCCTTCTCCTGTCTCCCCCTGTCCCTCTCTGCACCCCATCACCAGACACACATGCACACACACATACACACACGCACACACACACACACACACACACACACACACACACACACACACACACACACACACACACACACACACACACAATCAGTTTTATGTATGTCCTCTTTTTCTAAGTACTTTCTATGCATGTATGTGAGCACCTTTAAGAAGTGCCAAACAGTCTGTGGCTAGTTATTTGGAGTGCCTGTAACACTATTAAGGGGGTCGCTCTGTTCAGGATGCCTGTGCGTACAGTCCCATGGGTTATGACGGACGTTTGTAGGAGTTACTTCCTGGCTCAGCAGGTGCTGTGGAGTTTGACTTTGTGGTGTGAGTAGGTGATGGCTGGCTTTGGCCGGTGTGTGAACTGCCTGGTCTGCATACCTCTGCTGCCGTGCTTCTTACCAGCTTGCCATGTCTTGCCCTGTCTGCTAGCCGTGTGGTCTAGTTACCTTGTCAGTGGTGTTCTGGGCCGTGCCGCATCGTTGCCTCGTTGCCCTTCTGCACACTTTGCTTGTCCGTGCACTTTGCTTGTGTGCCGCGTAGCTTTGCTGCTTTGTCAGCACTGCCTTGTGCTTTGCTGTGTTGTTGCCTTGGTTTGGTTGCCTTGTCAGTGGTGTTTTGGGCCTCACTGCCTTGTTGCCTTGTTGCCTTGTTGCCCTGTGTGCCGTTTAGCTTGGCTGCTTTGTCCGCGCTGCCTTGTGCTTTGCTGTGCTGTTGCCTTGCGGCCCGTCCACTTGGACTGCCTTGCCGTGCAGTGTGCTTGTGCATTGTGTAGTCTGGCTGCTTTGTTAGCGCTGCCTTGCGCTTCACTGCGCTGTTGCCTGGTGGCCCATCCCCGTGACTTGCCTTGTCTTTCTGTGTGATGTACCTGTTTGCCTTGTAGTTTGGCTGCCTCATCAGGGCTGCCTTGGGCCTTGTTGCATCGTTGATCTGCTGCTTGTGCTGCAGTATGTCCACGTTCAACAGGGGTTAAAAAAGTCCATGACTCAAAACATGGGCCGGCATTCATCAGCCCCTGTTCCTACCCCCCTCCCTAGGGAACGTCGGTCTCGGTATTCAGCAGAGTTTTAGCTGAAACCGGGTAATGGCCCCGGTATGCGTCCTCTACAATTCGAAAGAAAAATATGAGGATTCTGCAGATTTTTTAGCGTTCAGCCTCCTCCGTCACCATTCGTTTTTTTTTCTTTTTTTTTCATTCTTTTTTTTTCTTTTTTTTTCATTCTTTTTTTTCTTTTTTTTCTTCTTCTCGGTTTTGTACTAGTTGCTTTTCCTTTGTTCTTCCGTGTTTCGTGGCCTTTGCATGTTTGCGTTCCATACATGCAAGCGGACGTCGTGCGGGAAATTCTGCACGTTTGGTGCACGAGCAGACTCGCACAGTACGGCGCACGGCATGTGCGGCGCACGGGGGAAATATTCACTTCAAAAAAAAACAGGGGTCGCATGGCTGGGTCAATGGTCACCTGCGTTCCTTTAAAGATTTGTTGCAGGATGGGAAAAAAGGAAAAAACTAGTGGGAGGGTAATGCCACTACCTAAAGGTCAAGACTGATGTCCCAGCCACCTTTTTGAGGCTATTTCTCATGCCCAATTGGACGGAAAGAAAAATCTGTACGACTGTACTTGAAAAAGATCAGTTCCTTAGGTGTTGCACTCTTCTGTATCTACAAAAACAGAAAAAAAGAAAAGAAAAAAGGGAAACTGCCGCTGGTACGGCGCATGAACAGGTGCTGCGCCGCGCGCCGCACCAGACGGTATGGCGCACGGTGCAGTTGCAAGTATGCTGCGTTCTGATGGGCTTACTTCGATGCGGGCTCTGTTTTCGAGTGTTGTTTACATGATGTACCTTTTGAAGTTTTGATGCAACGTGCCACAATGTGGCAATCATCGAGGCCTTGGTGGCTATTCTAGATTGGTGTCCTGGTAGCCCCCAACCCTGGGAACAAACAAAACAGCCACAAGGCCGAAAAAGCCTAACACTCCGAGAAGAATTAGGAAATAAAATTTCCACACAGCCTGGAGCTCCTAAGAAACCCCAAAAAAGGAAAGAGCCCACACGTTGAACCAAAGCATTATTACTACTGGAAAATCGCCACGTAGAGATACTTAAGCTTTGCTTCTATTTAACGACTATGCAGTCTAAGAACAAACCAACAACAAAACAAATGGGGGGGAGAAATAAAGAAAGAAAACAGAAAAGAAAACGAAAAATAAAAAGGAAAGGGGAATAGATGCACCCAAAAATAGAGGCAGGAAAGAACAGAGCAAAGTGTAACCAAACAAACAAAAACAAAGGGGGGAAGAAAAGAAGGATCCTATCCTTGACAAACCTGTAGCATTCCTTCCACTACCAATCCCCTTGCAAGCCTCCTGTGACTTGAGCCAAGAAAACTAGCGCCCAGGTTTGGACTCCTACTGGCCCCTAAGCCTTAAAAAGCCGAGAATCCGATGAAAGCCGATTCTCGTCACTGATTGTGGCCAACACTCGGCGGAGGTGCCACGTCTCTTGGAATCACTTCAGACAGCTTCCCTGATTTTGAGATTTGACGACTTTTCATCTCCAACCTGCTTTAATAGATCTCTGTAATGCAGATCATAGTTGGATCGAGTCTGTTTTTTTACTAGACCATTCTTTGTCCTGCAATACCCAATCGTTTCTGCCATGCCAGACAGTCACAAAACATGTAGCCGGAAAAGATTAAGCCACATAGCCCCACCCTTCATATGAGTTAGACCACCAGTACTTCCGAAAGCTGCAGCCGTATATGAGCTGCGACGCACAGGGCCGAACGGACCTGGCGGTTCCAGTCCAAATTCATTCAAGTGGAAACATTGCGGCCTTATTTTTCGCGGTGGCCAATGTAAGGGCGAAGTACTGGTGGTTTAAAGCCATCTGGAAGTCCCCCCAGGAGAGTCCAGCTTTTGTTCCATGGAAAGGCAGGACTCAAAATTCTTTCCCAGTATGTGACTTGAAGTGGTGCCGTCCCACCAAAGATGAACTGTTGATTCAAATACCCAATGGCATCTCAGACATGTCAGATCAACCTTCATAAGAAAAGGAAAAAAAACATCAACCTTCATTCCTGGTTCGAGCAACCAAATAGCTGAGGGAGTAGCTACCAAGGACTACAGCCACAAGATAGATGTATGTCTCTGACAGGCAATGAGTTTGAGCCGTTCCCCATCTCCAGCACTTCCGCAGTGCATGACCACAACGCACCCTCATCTTCTTCTTCTTCTTCTTCTTTTTTTTATAACAAAAATCTGCCCGCTTCAATAGATAGGACTGATGGTAAGAGCATACACTGCTACCTGTCTTGCAGGGGGCTCCAGTCTATTGGTGGGGAGCTATCACCTGCTGGAAAGTGCGTCCAGCAACCCTTGAGATACATCGTTGAGTTGGTAAATCAGCATGTACTGGGAACAGGGCCAGCCTCCCTCATGAACTTCACTGACAATGCCACTGATACTACTGATACTATGATGATGATGATAAGAAAACTCATGATATGATGATAATGACCTGTTGATGTAAGATATAAACTATATAAACACAATCTGGCCTTACAATCCATGAGTAACTCCTAGCCTCCCCTCCTATCCCAAATGCAACATTCCAAAGACAATGCCATCCCAACCAATACGCATAAAAACTGATGTGTTCTCAGTACCTAGACTCTACCCGGCCCCTTAGGTTGTGATGGCAGCACCCCCCAGTTCACCACTGGATTGTCTTCCTCCCTCAACGAATCCCCAGATCTCTCTACCAGGCCTCAAGCTCCTGATACAAACAGGTCAAAGGGCTACGCCCCAGCACCGGCCAGCGTCGTTCTGGCATCGGGAAGCGCACCCTCATCATGATTGTGTCAGACCAGAAACATAGCTTGTATACATTCATGGTGACCGTGTGTTCTATCTGGGGGTAGATAGTAGAGGGGAACAAACTTAAGACCTACTCAGTACATGTCCGGAGATATGCCTTTCGAGAAACTAGAGGCATCTACCAATGAGGGGGGGTTGTATGCATTCTATATGGCTTTGAAGCACTGGAAACACTACTCCATGGTAGACATTGCCTTGAGTATGGGAGCGTTAAAAGCAGACCCCAGCAGGAGGGAGCGTCAAGTCGTTCAAGGCAGCATAGTTTAGTAGTGTTATGATCCTGGCCAATTTCGAAGTACACATTCATCATATAGTACAATGTCGTCCAACTGCAGAAAAAAATGAATGAACTTGGGAGGAGAGAGAGGGTAACAAGAAGAAGAAGAAAGAAAGAAGAAGAAGATGATCTACTTTAGCATAGACAAACGATAAAGCTCCTGTTCTTCGCCAAACACTCTCCTCCTCCTTTACTCCTCTCTTATTCACACAAGAAATAATAGTACAATGTTGAATGGCTGAACCAGAATCGATGTCGGAATCCCTCTTCTACTGCAGGTATCACTTGAGGTCCACCATAGCCATGGCCGCCTCCCTCACTCTTCACTATCATAGGCCGA